TTAATGCGCGTGTTATCTATATACGTACATAAGTCATTGTTTTAATGCGCGTGTTATCTATATACGTACACAAGTCATTGTTTTAATGCGCGTGTTATCTGTATGTGTACGCGAGTTATTGTTTTAATGTTCGGGTTATCTTTGTTCGCCAGTTATTTTTTTAAGGCCTGTGTTATCTAGACTGTATAATATGCAAGTTATTGCTTTAGCGCGGCTGTTATCTATGCAAAATATGTGTTTTCTTTATGCAAATGGCTCTATGAGCGCCTGTTCTTTTCTTAGTTACTTTCGCTTGTTCTCCATGTGCATGAGTTCTTTTCTTAATGCGCGTGTTCTCTGTTTGCGTGAGTTCTTATCTTTGTCTCAGCGGCCGTGTTCTTTTTTGTGCGTGTGTTCTTTTTGTGCGTGTGTTCTTTTTGTGCGTGTGTTCTTGTCATAGTCTTGTCACGCGTGTTCTCATCGTGTCTCTGTCCAGATTCACTGATTCCCCCTCCCCCCCCACACACACCCCACCTACCCTGACCAGACAGATCTTGACTGACTGCGCGTTGTCAGGTTGAGCAGTCTCGCGCGCGGTGGGGTCGGGCGTGGCTATTGTTGTTGTCCCCGCCTTGCGCCGCGCGTGCAGTAGCGGACTTATGCCCCAGTGAACGCTCCCAGGTAGTGCTGGCGCTGGTGACGGAGGGTGTTCAGTAAGGAAGGAGGCGACCAAAGGATATTATGGTATAGAGGAGTAGTAGATTCTATGTCGTGACGGAGAGACTGGACATTTTATTACGATTGTCCGTTGGATCTGGGTTTGGTGATAGCTGCAGCTGCTGAGATGGAGGAAGTGTGAGTCTGTTTGTTTGTTTGTTTTTGTTGTTTGTTCCTATCGTTCTTTTTCGCTTTTCATGTAATTTTGGTTATTTTTGTTACTGTGGCGCGTATATTATCATTTTTGTTGTAATTTGTTTTTTCGGATTTGTAGACGAGCGAATAGAGGGCGCCACAGTAGGCCCTACTTCTTTACTTTTACTCTGTTGTTTCTGTTTGTCTATCTTACTTTTTTTCTAGTTCTAAATGACCAATATTGTGTCAATGCTCGTCTCTTTCCCCAACAAGCAAGTCGGATTAGTTGTCGTTTCGTCTCTGTGTAATGTTTTGTTGCACTGCTATTATTTCTGTTGTTACTGTACATGTGGTGGCAGTTACCGGGTGCTCTGGTGTGGTTTGCTTCTTCTTTTCTGTCAAACGTCTGTCTTCCTTATTGTTCATTCTTCCTTTTTAATGTTTGTGGCTCTCTTGTGTCGCCTCTAATCGTGGGCTCTCATAATATGACCCCATTGTGTTGCAAGTGCCGTAAAACTCTTACTTGCGAGCGGTTGGAGCACGCCACTGGTAGGTCCTACTTCTTCACTTTCCCTCTGTTGTTGTTTCTGTCTGTCTGTCTGTCTGTCTGTCTGTCTGTCCTACTTTTTCCCTAACACTTAATAACCATTATTGAGTCGATGTTCTTCTCTTTACTCAAACATTTACTAAAACAAAACAAAAACGGTCGTTGTTTTACGGATGCTCCTGTTTCATTGGTATTTCCATTTTGCCTCCAATTTACTATATCATGGTAGTAACTTAATGTTGTAGTATTTTGGACCAGACTACTTTGCCGATTTCTTCATTATGCACCACCTCAATCATTTTGTGGATGATTAGCGAGTGGTCTGGTGTGGTTTGCACTTTGTTTCACATCAAACTTCCATCGTCCTCGTTTCTCCCCCTTATTTCTTTGTATGTTGCTCTCTAGTTAAAACGTCTAATTTTCGGCCCTTATTATTAAAACCTCATTGAGTTGCAAGTTCCGCAAAACTCTAAATGAATCTAAAATTAACATCCAGGTCTTCGTGTGTGGTTGGAGGGCGCCACTGATCGGTCTTACTTCTTTACTTTCCATCTGTTGTTTCCCTGGTGGGTGGTTGACGGGTGCTCTGATATGGTTTGCTTCTTCTTTCCTATCAAACATCTATCGTCTTTATCTCCCCTCCTTCTTTTTTATGTTTGTTATTCTCTTGTAACACCTCTAATCTTCGGCCCTTATATGACCTTATTGTGTTGCAAGTGCCGTAAAACACTAACTAAAACTTAAAAAAATTATTTAAAAATCTGTTATTTCTGTCTGTCTGTCTTACTTTTCTCAGCACTAAATAACCATTATTGTGTCGATGGGCTTCTCTTTCCTCAAACAAACAAAACAAAAAATTCTCACTGTTTGGTAACGGCTCGAGGCTGATTGGAAAGCGCCACTTGTAGGTCACATTTTTTTCTTTCCTTGTGTTGCTGTTGCTTTTTTAAAATTCCTAGCCATCTTACGTTTCCCTTGCACCAATTGATCGTTATTTTGTTGGTGATCTTCTCTCCATCATTCTCAAACAAACACATTTTAGCGGGTGGTTGGCGGGTACTGTGTTGTGGTTTGTGTGTGTGCATGTGTGTGTGTGTGTGTGTTTGTGTGTGTGTGTGTGTG